TTTGTATTCACTATTACAGCAAAACAATTGGGAAAAATGGGTTTCAAAAGGAAATGAGCACTTACAGTAGTAGTCCTGCGAAGATTGATGTGGTCTTCATACTAAGCCTAGTGTCTAGAGGAATCTCGTTGCTAGAAGTTCCCAGACGTCCTTAACTATTTCCAATAAGTTTGTCGATGCTAGACAGAACTCTGGAATCGTTCCGTACCCTGATTGTTGAACTTCGATTTTTGAGGTTTCTCTTCAGTAAACTATTGAAACCGACCGGATCACGATTTTTGTGGATACCGTCTGAATTTAAATCCTACCGACTGCGCCAGTTAATCAACCATTCTTCAATCAAGGGAAAGCCTTTTAAAAAAGATTTATTTACAGAACGACGAGTTACAGCAATAGTGTACTTGTGACAACTGATAACTTATAACTGAACTTATGCTAAGATTACAATTGGTACTTATAAACTAAAACTGCTGAATTGGTGCAACTGAGCATTTACTTCGCTGACCAATTAGTTACAGGGTTTATAACTCGCTTCGTCTTTTTATGCTCAGGCTGCGAAATCCCGCATTGCACATCACCTGAGTTTATTGACGCCGTATTTCGACAAATGGAAACTTAAAGTGAATCCCAGGAAGACTGAACTTATTATCTTCTCGCGCAATTTCACTAACAATAAAATCCTATCGCCACTCATGGTCCAAAATACTCCAATCAAGCCAGTAAAAGAGGTGAAATACCTGAGATTCAAACTAGACGCCCGACTCCATTTCAACAAGCATGTTGACTATGCTATACAAAAGACTTTCCTGGCCCGAAGAAAGTTGTACTCTCTTCTGGCGCCAAATTCATTTCTGTCACCTCAAAACAAACTTCTTCTCTAAACCTCCACCATAAGGCCCATACTGACTTAGGGCTTGACGGCGTGTTCAAAGGACCCAAAATAGGTTCCTGAGATGCGTCCTATCGGCTGACAGATACGCCAGAATAACCGAAATGCACGAAGCTACAGGGATGGCCTATATAGCCGACTAT